GGGATGGCAACCCATAGTGCCCTGAGGGCGCAGAACCTCAGCCAGCCACCTGAAGGGAGGCAGAATCTACTCTACAGCACAGTCCCTGAATGGCCCATGGGAACTGGGTGAGGCAAGAGAGAAATTGGGACAGCAGAGGAGGCCTCTTGCCGGCAGATTCTAGCTCCAGGCCAGCCTCTGTACCACAGACATCACTAAGGAAATGGGTTCCTCGAAGTTGCCATAGCAACTCCAGGCTCTGGCTGGAGCCTGGCAAAGACAGGCAGGGAAGGAAAAGGCAAGTCCAGGGCACAGGAGCACCTGGCTAATGCCAATCAGATAAAGCAAGGGAGCCTCTCCTGCCCCTGCCCCTGCCCCTGCCCCTGCCCAGACCTCTCCCCTACCCACCACTAGCCGTTCAAACCTCCTTACCCACAACAGGCCACTTCCTTCTCTTCCATGATGATCCCACCCCCCCAACACACCCACACCCATCACAAATCAGGCCCCCTGTCAGCTCCCCAAATGCCCCCAGTACATCTTTCACCAGCCACTCCCCTCTTCTACCATAGCACTCTCTTCTGTATCGGCCAACCCCCAAATCTCCAAAAATGGCTCCAATGCCTCACTCCAACACCTGTGCTCAACACCCCCTACCAGGACAACCTTCAACCCCACCCTCAGGCGTTTCCCACAGGATCATCACAGACACCCCCCTCCAGCATTCCAACCCCTCTGCCTCTACCCCAGCCTCCTGTCTCCATCACTCCCTGCCCTGGTCCCTACTTCCCCCACCCCCCACATACTCCTGCTTTCCCAGGCCCCTGACCCCATCTGCCCCCTGACCACCTCGCTCTCTTCTCTCTCCTGGTGTGCTCTTGCTTCCTTGCTCTCTCCTGCTCTCCCGGGAGCTGCCGTGGTTCCGTTCCTCCCAGAGAAAGGCCCACAGGGAACAGGAATGTGCAGAGAATGAAAAGGCAGCAGCTGCAGAGACAGCAGGCACGGAGGGGGCCCCAAGGGGGGGATCCTGGGGACAACTGGAGCCTGAATGGGTGAGGCAGGAGAGGGCCCCAGGGAAAGTGGAGATTTTGGAGGAGACAAGGAAGGGACAGAGGGGTACAGAGACCATGGAGAGGGCATGGTGAGCCAGAACAGTAGGTGTGGGCGGATGTGGGTGGTGATGGCACAGGAGGCGGATGGAGCAGTGTGGGAAGATGAGTGAATAGCTGGGGCCGGGAGTGGAAGCAATGGAAGGTGGAGAAGTGCATGGAGGGGTGGATGGTGCCGGGAGGTGGGGGTGGAGGGGCAGTGCAGGACAGCATGGTAATGTGGGACAGTGCAGGCCCCTGAGAAGCATTACTTACACGTGGATCGAGAGCGCCCGTCCTCTGTACAGACTGAATGCGCTGCCATACAGGTCACTGGCCACCGAAAGGCTATCCTCTGACCCCCAGCTTGCGCCCACCAGATTAGCTCGAGATGCCCGTACCAGCGGCTCCACCCCCAGGTGCCGTGGCCCGGCCCCGGCCGCCTGTGCTTGCCTTGGGCTGCCCGGGAGGCGGCGGGTGCCACCCCTGCTGCCCACTTCCTGCTCCAGGACCGTCTGCCCGCTGCCCCACCAGCTCACTTGCTCTTCGGAGGTGCCTGTCATGGAGGTCGGGGGAGTGTCCAGGGAGGTGCCCACCAGGGTGTCGGAGCCCCCTGGAGAAAGGAGCATGGTGAAGCACACACGCCTCTCGTGGGAGGCCCACCCGCCTGCTCTCTGAGCCCCCCAGACAGCTCACCTGTGGGGGTGCTGAAGGTCCTGTCACCCCGAAGCTCCAGGCGCTGGGTCCCTTGCACATCGCTGATGTCATCCTCACCTGTCTCCAAGTCTGAAGAAACAGGGGCCTGTGTGGGCAGGGCCCTCTTCCCTCTCATTCCAACTCTCCCCCATGTCACCTCCTACCTCCCCCACAGCAGGCTCCATCTTACCACTGTAGGCTGTCTGGTACCTATCTTCTCCTCTCTTTTGTTCCCCATATTCCCCTGCCCATCCTGGGCTGCTCAGGGTAACCCCTCCCCTGCCAATTCCCTGGCTCCAGCTCTGGGCCCCTGGGTACTCACCCTCGCTTCTTTGTAGTCCCCTCAACTACCTAATGAATTACCAGGGCCTCAGCCCCTACCCCTCCTCCCCTGCCAGTGGTAGCTTAAGTTTCCATGCAGCCCCCCAAATAACAAGGTCCTAGGTTCCAAGGCTCTAAATTCTGGGTTCCAGTACCCCAGGAATAAAGGGGAGTCACCTCAGAGTTGTATTGTCAGGGCACTTGACCAATCGCAGGACCAGCCTGTCCTCTACCCCAAGCCAGCCGGAACACATCGGGGTGCAGCTGAGGCAGGGTGAGGAGAGGCGGGTTGGGCAGGGAAGAGGGGGGAGTGGAGGGCTAGGGCAGGAGCCAGTTTCCTACCGTAACTTTGCTTTCTGCAGGAGCGGAAAACTTCGCTTCCATAGGAGCAGCAGAAGAGAGACATGGACAGACTGTTATCAGAGCGTTTGTGGGGTAGGGCATGGTGGGCAGGCAGCAGAGAGGGCACAAGGGTACCCAGTGCCCAGAGATGCCCTGTGGGACCAGGGCTGGGGCTCTTCTCCTCTCTTTTGTTCCCCATATTCCCCTGCCCATCCTGGGCTGCTCAGGGTAACCCCTCCCCTGCCAATTCCCTGGCTCCAGCTCTGGGCCCCTGGGTACTCACCCTCGCTTCTTTGTAGTCCCCTCAACTACCTAATGAATTACCAGGGCCTCAGCCCCTACCCCTCCTCCCCTGCCAGTGGTAGCTTAAGTTTCCATGCAGCCCCCCAAATAACAAGGTCCTAGGTTCCAAGGCTCTAAATTCTGGGTTCCAGTACCCCAGGAATAAAGGGGAGTCACCTCAGAGTTGTATTGTCAGGGCACTTGACCAATCGCAGGACCAGCCTGTCCTCTACCCCAAGCCAGCCGGAACACATCGGGGTGCAGCTGAGGCAGGGTGAGGAGAGGCGGGTTGGGCAGGGAAGAGGGGGGAGTGGAGGGCTAGGGCAGGAGCCAGTTTCCTACCGTAACTTTGCTTTCTGCAGGAGCGGAAAACTTCGCTTCCATAGGAGCAGCAGAAGAGAGACATGGACAGACTGTTATCAGAGCGTTTGTGGGGTAGGGCATGGTGGGCAGGCAGCAGAGAGGGCACAAGGGTACCCAGTGCCCAGAGATGCCCTGTGGGACCAGGGCTGGGGAGGGAGACACCTGGGATGGGGAAAGCATCTCTAGTTCTTGACTGCCTGCAAGCTCCCAGTGTGCCCAGGGCTGGGAAGCCCGCGTGCTTTGGCTGGTTATTCCTGTACCCTTGGCACTTTTACTGGTGTACTCACTGGTCACACACACACACGTACATACACACACATGCCTGCTTGTGCTCAGCCCAGCCACCCCCCATTAGGGGTCAGGCTCACCTGCTATTACAATATTTGTATTGTGTTTTGACCCCTCCTTGAAAACCACACCCTCATCTGTTCCGTATCATGATGTGACGGGAACCCTCTTCCCCATCCCTCTCTTCTGCTGAGTGGTCTTCAAAAATGCCCAGTTAGGCTAGAAGCAACATTTCTGGGCCCATGTTTAACTTTCCCAGACTCTATCCGGTTCTGAGCCTCAGTTTCTCTATGAGTGCCACGACAAGCAGGAGCCGTGTACTGGTAGCCAAACTATGGCAATGAGCTCATCTTCACTCTGTCCCGTGGATGAAGAACAGTGAACCTATGGTGGAATGTGTATGACTCCCCCCGCCCCCACTTTGCTAGGTCCTCTCTCAGCAGCAGGGCACAGGGGCCTTCTTGGGTGGGTAGGTAAGTATGGATGCATGTATGTGTGTGTGGGGGGGGTCCCACATCTCATGAGCTGTCTTCGGGACTTGGGTGCCTCATGTAGGAACATGGACCAAGAGAAGGAGTGGGATGGGGTAGAGCAGGAAGCCCACAGTCCACACACCATGGGTGAGGCGGCTAAAGGCCCGGCGGGAGTGGCCGGTTTTCTGAAAGAGAAAAGCCAGAATGAGTTGTTGAGGGGAAGGCTCGCTTCTGCCATCCCTATACCTCCCGTCCAAACATTCCAGGGCCAGTGGGCAGGGGGGTGGGGGGAGGTGGGACAGAGACTCAAGGTGGCCAACTTCCCGCATAGAGAATGTCTCCACTCTTCCTTGCCTGTCAGCCCTCCCAGCGGGAGGTCAGCTTGGCTCTGGGGAGGAGCAGGGGAGGAAGGAGAGAGAGGACAGCAAGGCTGTGGGTCATAATTCATAGTCTCACAGCACTGGGGACCTGAGCGATACCCCCAGAGACAGAGGCTAGGAGATAGGATAGGGGGCTGGCTGAGGTGAAGAGATTGGGGGGGGGCAGTGTTTGTTTGGATGACTGGGAGATGAGATAAAGGAAGGGGGGGGGGGGAGGTTGCTTGGATGACTGGGAGATGGAGAGATAAGGACACAAATTCCTTCCGGGAGCAAGACAGATCCCAAGGATAGGTGTCAAGAGGGCAGGGAGGGTGATGGGGGTCTGAAGGCAAAGTACCCCAAAAGGCCGGGGCCTCAGGAATGCAGGAAGGAGGCCTGGGTATGCGAGGACAAGGCAGGGCTTGGGGAATCTATTGAGCTCAGCGCGGATCCCTGTGCCCGGCTTCCAGGAGCTCGGGAAGATGGAAGGCTCCAGAGTGGGGGGCTGGGGGAAGCCGGGCAGGGCCCGGGCCCAGGTTGGCCAGAGGCTAGAAGAGAACAAGGTGGCCAAGAAGCTAGTGGGCGCTCCACGCCAAAGGCGGCGCGGAGATCTCCCCGGGTGGTCGCGGGGAATACA